GGTTGGTCATCTTCTCCCCGCTCCCAATCTGTTGGTTCTATGTATGTCCCAGCAAAGCATTTATATTTATAACTATTGTGGTTCAGTACTCTAATTACACATTTAATTGCCATTCCATTGTAAAGAATACAGAAAATTTACATTTCCACTAATGAACACCACTTCTGCTCTATTTGTGGTCCATTGTATTTCTTTATGTTGAATAACTCTTAAACAAGAATTAAATGAACTATATTGTCAAGTTGCTCAGGGCAGGTTTTTCTATACTAAAGTTCACTTCTTTCATATTATCGTTGTTATCACCTGTACAGGAAAATGGAAAAGAATTTTTATCCTTGCCAGGTATTTCTCAAGTGTCAAAAGTTACACTTCTTAAAAGTCTGGAGGTCTGATGCAACCACTAGAAAGTAAAGTCTTTCGATAATAATGCACATGGTTTATGAACTGGGTGAGTCTCTTGTCGTTTATGTACTGATGCCTGTCGCAATTTTCCTAAACTCTGCAATTTTTCCATGTTGCCTTCCAGTTAACAGTTAGTTCCCAACTACATCACATGCAGTGTTCTCTGAGTTTATTTCTTTCATGTATTTTCCTTTCTGTCTTCATTACTTTTCCTGATAACTATCAGTGTAGGTAGTCACTGGCATTTAAGTTGCTACTAAACATTATGGTTTCATCAGACTGAACACATGATTTGGCACCTTAACTATTCCTCACCTGCTGTCCTTAATTAAAGGTCTGTTCTTTCCAGAGAGTTAACCAACACTTTTACTCAAGGCAGGGGGCATTCATTATTTTCATTTTAAGGCGTCTTTCTTCTGTAAGGACACTCAATTTACGCCATTCATTCTGTGATGGCTACATTCTTGGACTTCAAATCTTCTTTACCTCCCACCCTGCTAAGCAATTCTTCTAAGTCTTATATCCATCCTTTTTAATCTGCTGGAGGTTGAAACATAATTTGTCCAATGAGCAGTCTATAGATTTCAGAGCCCACATGGGCCAAGCTGTCTTTTGAAGATGAAAGCCAAAAGATACTCAGAGCACCTCAGGGCAATCAAAATACAGGTGATACTTTTTTAATACCAAGCTGACTTCCCTCTGGGATTAATGATGAAGAAAAAAAATCTTGACATGAATGCCCCTTGCTACAGAACCAGATTGAAAGAAAGAGTAAGATCAGGGATCACGGCCATTGCTTGGATGGCAATCTTGAGCCAAACCATTTCCTCCTGTCTGTAAAGGGATATGAAAAAGGCAAATGAAAATTAGAAAAACTAACGCATTTTCTGCCTCCCTCCCTCAGGGAAGGAAAGAAAAATAATATAACAAACAAGAAGGGATTTTTCACAAACAATATTTTGGTGTGAGTGAAGCTAGCTCTCAGCCAGTAGAGCTAACATACCATAAGAAGTAAGATCCTGGGACCACAAAACAGGGAGACATATGTGTGAACTTTATGAGCAAACTCCTGGCACATCCTGGAGATAAAGATATTGGAGCACTAGCCTCCATAAAGAAAACTTCCAGTGCTGATAAAATTGTCAGAAAAGTCCACATACATACACAAAAATTGCAGGAGAGTGTGCTTAGGCACCAAAAAAAACAAACCAGAACAACAACAAAAAACATTCAGCAAACAAAAGAAACACAAACCCCATAAATCTGTGGGGCAGCTAAGTCATCTGAGCCTTATCAGATTGGTGACTCTGTTATGTACCACCTCTCAGAAGACTGGGCAAGCATTGTTCCCTTACAATAGGAACACACTCAAGCTGTGAATAAAGAAAAATAAATAAGTGAAGGGTTAGAGGGAGAGAAAAATCAAAGTTTCATTTAATTACACAGCACAATGATAAGGGTAATTTTTCTTAAATCAGAAAATAAATTCTAGGTTCAAGTTCCCTGAAGGATATAAAATATTAGAGGATTTTTTATGGTTGTAATCTCAAACTCATTTCTCTAGCCACTACTGGCCGTGTCTAATTAGGGCAAAGTATGTTAATGATACAGCAGCACAGCCCAGAGACGTCTTCAGTTGCAATATTAATTGCATTTAGGGAAAGAAGCATGAATTGTGCTTATACAAGCTAATTAGTATGGGTTTGCTAATTAATACTGGAAAGTCAAACTGCCTTTGTCTTGTCAACTGCAATTAGCTGAAGATGTTTAAATTTATTTTCTTTTCTTTTTTTTTTTTCTTCCAGTAGTAAACCCGCTTTAGCTGAGAAGCATTGAAATCACGCACTGGAGTACTGAATGGCAGTTAGAGCAGCAAGTCCATCCCACATTCCACTAGCATGACCTTGTGCCCTGGTCTAGTGCAGCATCCCCTGCACCACACACCACCTTCCATCTCATATTGTCTCCATGGACACAATTACCTGAACCAGGGCCTTCTCCTCCCAAGGACACAGAGCATGCAGATACTGTCTTACTGAGGCCACAATCCTATCAGATTTATCTCGCAAGTATTTTACTTTTAAATATTGCTATGTAAAGAATGAATTATTTACCAGGGCATGTAAGACGCTTCCCCTCATATACAAGAAACCCCATCAAACTCATCAGTGAGATGCAATTCGCTAGTTCATTAGCTCCCAGAGCACATCACTTCTTTCCCGTGCTCTGGGGAGGGTGGCAAAACCATTAGCACTCTTGAAGGTGGCAGTAAAGATGTCACCTCTACAGAGGTCTGTCCCAGAAGCAGCCCAAAGACCCATCAGACTGTATGATAGCACCTGACAGGTGTTTATTCCATTTCACTTAGGGCCATAAGTCTGTTTGCAGGATGGCTGATGAAAAGCAATATCCACATCTGTCAGCACCCAGAGCAGGATGAGCTCTTCTGCATCCCCCCCCCCCAGCTGCAGAGGCTTAACATCAAACAAGCAGTGGATCACGGGTGAAAAAGAGGGAGGAGGATGAAAAGGAAGGCGAGATGCCAGGAATCCAAATCAGGCAAACAACTGCTGAAGTGTCAACTTTAAGAGAGTCTGAAAATAAGGCCATCCAGGTGAGCCCCTGGATCTGGAGAGGAGGGAGAAGAAAACCCCAACATACAAAGAACATTTTGTTGGATGGCAGGGAGGAGAGCGGGGCTGATGGTACAAGTGCTGGCGTCCTCGGGCAGGCAGGTAACGGAAGAGCCCCACCCAACGGGGACAGACCTCTGCCACCCCAAGCACTGTAGGAGACAAGAAGTGACACATCTGTCCCTACCAGGGAGATTTTACCTGGGGGTCGAGGAGAACCATCTACCACCAGTGAAAAAATGGAACTATACTGTCATGTTTCTCCTCAAAAGGGAAGAAGAGGAAAAACAATCTCTCCTCCTCGGGATGAAGCAATTTACTTACATGTACTGAACAAAATTCAAAACACTGAATAAAGCCAACACCTCATAATCCATCATCTAAAGCACCACAGAATACAGCCTATCCATGTGAGATGGAGGTAAGCCTTATTGGAAGATCACAAGACCTCCAGTTTTCTGCTGAGTAACCCTTGGGAATAGGCACTGAACACTGACTGCTGCTTTATCCTCTGCTGATGGATGATGCACAACACCAATTAATGCTTTAACGTTGGAAGTTCCATTTTCTTCAGCAGTGTGCTAGCCTGTTCAATATAACAAACTTTTGAAGCCAAACAACTAACTCAAAACCTAGGCTTAACAAGCCAAAAAGAAAAACCTTGAAATGTTTAAAAAATTTACACATCAAAACATTTAAAACAACAGCAAATGTATCCTCTAATAGATCTGGTGAGCACAATGCAAATTTGATGGTATAGAATTTAAAACTATAACAAGGCAGCATGTAATTAAATCAGATGGTAAATAGGATTAATTCAGTTTTCTTTGGAAATATCACTTCTGACCTATGTCATGAAGAAAGCAGCTGAGCATACAAAATATTTGCCCACAATGTAAGACCATACCAGAACTGGAATCAATTAACACCCTCATTATAGAAAATCTGATGTTGAAACAGCAAAGAGTACAAATTAAAAAAAAAAAAAAAGAAAAGAAACCAGCAGACGTATGGCAACCTATTAATAGTAGATCTAGACATACTAGTTCTGCCCTTCAGTGTCCTAGTAGAGATAAGCAGAAGTCTAAAAAGACGAGTGATGGCACTGTAGTTTATGATTTCGGTTTTAGAACAAAACTCTGTTTAGCACCTACTTACTAGCCAGTGATTCATACCCATTTTTTCATTAGTAACGAAATTAATTCAGTGTAAAACACATCTACAGAACAAATGTCTACATCTTGGATACTACTCGGGTTCTTCTTGTGACTAGAAAAAGTTGCAGGAATCCCACAACTTGCCCATTAGCAAAAACATCGGTTCACAAAACAGCTTAATGGCGGACACCTCATTTATTCCTGAGTATGAAGAATCATACATAATAGTCATGAAACTGCACATAAACCTCCCTACTGTCTGGTTTTGTGGCCTCTATTATTTTTGGTCCCTGAGGGAACAAACCCATCAGGTTGAACACTTTATGGAAGTGTTATGGAAGGTGTCCCTGCCCATGGCTGGGGGCTTGAAACTAGATGATCCTTAAGGTCCCTTTCAACCCAAAACATTCTACAATTCAATAAAACACTAGTTTGTTGTAATTCTGTCTCATCTCATTTGCTTGTCCTTTGCAAACTTGAGACTTAATCAAAGGTCCTCAAAGAAAGTAGTTAACTCAGTATGAAATTAAATCCTTGTTTCTAAAGTAGAGCTGCTAACAAAGGGAAAGGAAATTGCCAAAAAAAAAGGAAGACAGACCATTAGATCTCATCCAGCACTTGTTCCAGGTGAGCACCAAGACAGTCTGTGCCAAGACTAGAGACTAGCAAAAACAATACAAACTTTTACAATGCTTATTTGCTACTCATTTCTGGATATTTGAAACTGATCCACTGTTTAAATGAACTGAACTCTGCATATGTTACTGCTCTGTAAAACAATTTAAAAAAAGAAAATATGAACACTTACCATCTCTGCTCTTTGCTTATGATTTCCCACTTCTTCCAGAACTTGAGACAGCTGAGCCTTCAAGACAAAAAGGTAGAAAATGAAGTCACAGGATCATCTAGGTTGGAAAAGACCTTGAAGATCACCTATTAACCTAACACTGACAGTTCTCAACTACACCATATCCTTAAGTTTGGGACATATTTTTTGATGTTTAATAGGACTGCATTGTTCCCTTCCAACCAAACAAAGCCACCCCAGGCAAGATGATCTTCACAGCATTGAAAAGGAATTATAAGCACTGGGTTTTGTTATGTCCTGGCAGCATCCCATTCCATGAGACAACCCTGACCCAAAGAGCTGCAGCCTACATATGCAAGAAAGACAAGGTTTATTGCAGAGAGGGAATCAACTGGATTAGCTAAACAAAATTTAAATCCCATTAGTCCAGTTAGAGAACTGTACCTCCTCTCCATTTCTTTGGAAGTTGCAGGAAGAGTGGTCTAAAACCCACTCAGCTGCCAAGCTTAACTTTAGGGAAAGAAGCAGCTCGCTTCACTGCTCCTGCTAGGTGTGTTTGTGTGTGAAGATAACTTCATAGAAAATGTTCTGTTGAAGAGCTGAGGTACAAGGTTGGGTTTGGCAGCCTCTGAAAATGTTGTGGTAGAATACTGAGAAAATCCTCTCTGGAACATAACCCTACTGAATTTCTGTGAGAAAAAGCCACAACACAAGGTTTTTTCTTTTTCAAGAGGAAATTTGAAGTGTAAAGAACCTTAAACCAGAGTAAAATTATCTTATGTTATCCCTGTGTAATTTGGGAAGAAATGGGAACCTGACTCAGAGGAGGAGCTTTCACAGAGTTTTGTTTATGAAAAGGGATTTAAGCCTAAAAAATAGTTACAACTGATGACAGAGAAGCTAATTTAAACCACATAAACAAACAAGACCTAAAAAAACCACTTTCCTACAAACAAATTCATGTAATTTCAAGCAGATATTCATTAAAACCCCCCAGAGTCCCTCTAACAATCTCTTGCCACACATTAAATAGGTCTTTTGAGTACTACATCCAAACCAGAGACAAATAGCAAGCAGTTTATTACAATGAGAAAGAAAACATTAAGCTTTGAAGGCTAACTGCACTGAAATGCAAGCAAACAAAGAAAATTATGGTCTTAGGGTTCAGCACAACAGAAGTTTAATTCTGCAAACAACCACCCAAACAGTTCAAGACCTCCCTGGTCCCAAAGTAGAGTAGAAACTGAAAAAGTTACGGATTCTTGCTGTGCAGGGCCTAGGATGATGTGACATTATCCTCACTCAAATAAGATGAAAAGGGTTTTCATACAAGCCTGGTACCCAGCACAGGGAAATGAAACACACTTCTTAAACACAGCGGGAGATGCCAGACCCAACCAAACACAGAGTGCATGTACAAGCAAGTGAGAAGAAAAAATGAAATTATCACCAAGTTTGATGCTGAAACCTCAGGGAACTAAAAATTTGCAGACACCTGAGAAAGACTTTTTTCCCTGCTACTACTGAATCAGGTAGAATTACACCAGCAGGCTGGTGCCAGAAAAAAGTTGCATGGAGAAGAGTTAGAAAACATGTCCCTAGAGATGTTATTTATGAGAGATGCTAGCACAGCCTTTGCAAAATACCCCAAGACCAACTTAATATTTTTGATCAAAACCAACCCCAACTTTCCTGTATATTTATTAGCCTTACCTATATGAAGATGGCCTTTAGATGGGAACTACTGGCCTATTCTAAACTAGATGTAAAGAGCCATTAAGAATTATGTATTTGCTTACAGTAGCTACCATTTCTGAATTTGAGGGTCCTGTCTCTGTTCAGCCTCCTGCTAGTACAGACTTCTATAGAATCACAGAGTAGTTCAGACTGGAAGAGGACAGTTCAATCCTCTGCCTGGAGCAGGGTCAGCTACATATGAGGATTCTCAGGGCTCTTGGTCAGCTGGGTTCCAAGTATCTCCAAAGAGGCAAAGTCCAAAACCTCTCTGAGCAACCTGTGCCAAGTTTGGTGCCTTTCACAGTGGAAATAGTTTTCTTTATAATATGAACACGACAGTTCCCTAGGAACCTGTTTAACTAGATGGGTATAAGAGCATTTTAAAGTACAAGACCTTTAAAAAAATAAGAAAAAAGGGACAGAAAAGACCCTGACATTTTACTTCAGGAAGAGGCTGCAAAAAGTTTTGGATAGGAGAGAGAGAATACAAAGGAATGGGAGAAATTAGTAATACAAGCAGGAAATATTCATAATTTACCTTATATATAATGTGGCTCAGAGAAAATAACTAAATACAAACCTCTCAAGCTGCTATGCCAGTAGAGACCTAAATGCAAACCTGGAGAGCAAGTCCAAAACAGCAGCATGATAACAGAAGATCAATATGATTTGGAGAAGCAATCAGATAAGAATTAAATCACAAAGTAGGTTTTCTTCATTGCATTTATTTCTAGGCAGCTTATCTCAAAGGGAAAGAGTAGCTAACTAGTGGGAATTCAGAGAACAGCAACTGAACTTACTAGATTGCTGGAAGAAATGATTTATGAAGATTAAAAGATTTTTAAACGTATGGTTTGACTATAACTCTCACAGAAGAGCAAAAGGGACATATTTAATACATTGAGAGCTTTTACAATGATACAGCTGGAAACAAGGAGGATTTTCCAGCACAGCTGATGCTGTCTGATGCACTCGCAGAGCGGAGCGGAGACCCTCCTTGACTTGCCTGCTCTCTGTCTGCACCCACATATGCAGGCAGGCATGAAAGCACAAGACAAAGCCCAACCTTTAAGGGGGTCCCCTGTGCCTCCTCTCGTCTGGCTGCGAAACAGATGATCTGAATGCTTTATCACATCCAGTTTGTAAACATTAGCCCTACCCCAGACTTTTTATTAGCTTAAATCAAATATTGAACCTAGCTCAGCTGTTAGAGGACAGCTGCTTGCGAAGTGATTCACTGCCGTATTCCTCCTAGGCCACAAGAAAATACAACCTAATCACCAGCAGCATGACAGATGCACACATTTTTAATTATGAAGAAGAAATTAGGCTCTGAACTTATCCCCACATCTCACTTAATCAGAGTGCTTTGGAGGAGCTGCCAGCCACCACAGGCATGGAAGGAAGGAGCTGCAGAGGGTCCTGGAATGGTGCCTGACAGTGTGCTGAGCCCCTACACCCAGCCCTGCTCCGGGCATTTAGCAGCAAAGACCTGAAAGAAATAGTGTTATTTCTTAGAATTTACCTATTCAGAAATGAACTGTTAGATTTCTCAGTTCAGGCATCTCTGGCCACTTGCAGGCAACAAAAGCACAAGCAATGAACCTGAGCCAGTTGAGGTGGTTAGGAAGGAGATGGTGTGTGCAAGAGTCCTTGACCGCTGTGCCAGCAGGCAGGGGAGGGTTACCCGCAGGACAAACTGCTGGTGCCGTCTGCCAGTCCCATCTCAGAGTTTCACACTGGGAAAAGCAATGTCCTACCTATATATAACACAGCTCTGTTTTACAGGCTTTTCAATTGATCACGTTCACCTTGGTATTTCAGGAATCTCGCAGTAGGATAGACTTGCGTGTTGAATTTTCTGACTATGCATAAAAATTATTTAAAGCTCCAAGGAAATTCTCATTACTTAATACACATGTTAATTTCCCACGGATCACCGAGCTCAAGCATTAAGAAATCTGATAAGCAAACAGATATTAAGAGTCAGATATACAAATACATGTAAAGTCCCATTTGTCCACTGAAGGCAGCACAAGCAGGTAAAAGAAAATCAAGTAGCAAAGTAAGGAAAAAAAAAAATCCTCTCAAGTATTCAGTCAACTACTATAAGCCTCCAAAAAAAGCGTTTGTCAATTCAAAACATTCATCTTACATGACAACACAGTCTAATCTACTGTCAATGCTACTGTCATCCTCAAAAGAGAGTGGCAGGAAGGGAAAGATAACCTGTGCTCCGGCCGCACCGGGATACTGCAGCTCAAGGCTGAAAGAGGAGCAGGAACGGTTTCCAAGGAGAGGAACTGATTCAGCTCCTAAGGAGCCATTTCTGAATTGTTTAGCTTGCTTCCCTGCATTAATAATTTGTCTTCTGTACCTTCAGAAAGTCAGCCTTCACTGACAGCACTGGAGGAGGCTGGTCAGAGAGGGTGTAATGAATGAAATCAAAGCAATCTGGTGGTTACAACACAGGTGTTAACACCAACTGCATCAACAGCCCCACACTCTTCTCCAGGGGCTGAACGTGAGCCGATTGCCCTGACCGATACGCAAACAGCTCAAATGTGAGATTCACTTGTAGGAAAAAATTAGCTACTCGATCTCTAATGAACAGTCTTTCTCTACACAACAATACCCTCCGCTCTACAAGCAATTAGCAAATCGAAGCGCTCTCTTTGTGGACCTGCATTAATTTACTCCTCGATGTTGCACATTAAATAGCTCATAGGTACGGCACAGCACAGTAGTAGCAACAGCCAAAGCCATAAAATTAAAGCTTGCTTCAAAGAGTTAGGGAAGCAAAATTATGCATGCTGCATACAGGGAACAAATCAAAACAACCTTCATTTGGAAACATCATTTTAGTCTTACGCTTTCATCAAAAAACATGATTATCTTAACAGTCACATTAATACAAGGTAGGTACTTTAGAAGGGAGAGGAACAAGCAGCACATTAACTGCCTCAAATTAGCAACAGTCATTTTTGGTTTTCCTCATCAGGGTGAAATACCTGAGAGAATACACAGCTGCCTATTCTGGGGTCATGCTTTCACATCTATAAATCCCACCTGCGGGTCCCCTCAAGGAAGGCCACTTGTTGGAAGGGCAGCACCAGCACACGGGAGGGGAACAGGAGGAGGTTTAGTCTGGCAGAGCTGTAACACAGCTGCAAAATGTGGCATTTTTACAGCATGCCAAAGCCCAAGACACCCTTATCACTATTTTATATGCAACAGTTATATGCAAATTCAAGTCAAGTGTGATGATTGGCAAATTTAGGTATAATGTTAATTAATAGCTATTTCAAATTAATTAACTT